ACTCAAAAACTTTTGATAATATATATATTACATTATACTATTGTTTATTTATTTTAATTATTAATTTGATTTTCAAATAAATATATATATAATCTGCTAATTTATTTATTTTAAATATTAAAAAACAAGATATTATATTTTTTAATTGGTTTATGGGTTTTATTAAAGGAGATATGGAATTTCAACCTTTAATTTTATTTATGGTTCTTATTATCTCTAATAATCAAATACTTTTTCTATCCATTAAGTTTATGTTATTTTTTTATTGAATTCTCGAACGAATTAAGCTTTTTTGATCAGTTAGGATTTTCAATAATTTTAATAGTGAGTTAAAATATGCTTAACACATAAACTTGAAAAGCTCATTTTTTAATTTATCAAGAGTAATTGTTGTAAATTTATCAGGTTTAATTAAGATTATTTATCAAACCAAGCCTAACTGTTTTTAAAGGAATAGTTATTTAATAGGAACCAAAAATAGAGAATTGATACAATTATCATTATTGATCAAAACATCATAAATTTTAGATGGCATCACAATGTATTATATAAATTTTATGTAAGTATTCTTTCTCATAATCTTATTCCAAGAATTTGCTTCATAGTGGTTACCTTAGGACTCTTATTTGAAATCAAATACAATTTATAAATAAGCTACAGGTTCTGATGCTTACAAATATACAGAAAGATTTTTCAAACCAATGACATAATATACAACTGCAAATTTTATCAATTGTTCAATTCCAGCAACTAGTTATATAACTTTAAATTAAGACAACCCTCAAGTTGAAAATATCAATTGGATTAACTTTTAATTGGGATGTGTTATATCATTTGATTTATATTTCCATGGTACGTGGAATAATCAATTTGTCACAATGAACGCGAGTAGCTTTAGTTAAACTAATTATTATACATCCCCAAATGCTTACTATTTATCATCAGGATTTTGTGATAATATGCCATACGAGGTTCAAACAGTTAATTTTTCATTGATAAACTCATAATCAGGAAAAATGTCTTTTAAATCATCAAATAATATGGGTGGAATGGTTTCTATAAGAAATATTTTTATAACTAAACTCAAATGTTATCCTTCCTGCAAGACTTGTGATGGTCCGGCGTTAAATTAATGTTACAGTTGCTACTATGGTACAATATCTGGAAACATTTGTCCATTATGTCCAATTAACTAATATTATGTGAAATTTTTGGGATGTAGGGATACTTGTAATTTCGACCAAAAATTGTTTAAGAATGGTTTCTGTTAAGACTTCAGAAGTAATTTATCATAATATTAAGTGACTTATTTCCAGAATACTGAATTTTAAAATAATTCACTCCATGTTGAAAATCTAAAATGGTCAATTAAATATGATAAAAACCACATTGATACAACACTTAGTCTTTAATATGTTACTAACATTTTATCTTATGGTATTTTTAAATATAATTCTGGAATTTAAAGATTTGTGAACGAAATAAGGGTAGATAAAGGAACATAATCAATTGGTTTAAAAATAGTAATTTTAATATTTGGTCTTTTTCCTATGTAAGGAGGTCTAAACTTCCTACTTAATAATACATATTATGGTTCCATATTTAAGATCTCCTCAGAAATATAAACGCACAATATTCAAATATATGATGTGATTTCATTGGGATCATGGCTTCAATATTCAAAATGTGAAAAATATGAATTGCACATGTTTGTTGATATACCTTAATTTCCATTTTTATTTTCATCCTCTAGTAATTTTACGTATTTTATTTATTGTAACTTTAAGAGATGATAGTGCTGGATGGGGATTGGTTTCCTTAACAGTCTCTTCTGGATACTGTCCATAAAATTGTAAGGAGTGTGAAGTATCATTTTAGTGTAAAACTTGTGAATCAAATTATAAAAAATATCGAGATGGTAAATGCATTTATTGGTGTGACAAACCATACTAAAAATCAAATGTCACCCATTGTACAGATTTCGACGATGAAACCCCATGTATATTAATTTACATATATAAATAGATTCAAAATTTTTGGTCTCAGAATATATTGATTATGCAAATGATCTAACTTAAAGAAATTAGTATACTTTACTTTCATCATCTTCATAATCTAATGTAAATTTCTTAAAGGGTGCTGACATCCTTTATTCATATTGGAAAACTTATAGAGTTTTTGGTGGTCCTTATGTTTGGGCTTAGGCTAAATTTTAGAGAATGCACTAAATATAAGATCCTCATCATAGTATTACTATAGCGTTCGATATATTATTTGGTCCAAACTTTCCTTAGAGTGGATCATTTATTTACACTATCGAATCAAATCCTAGTGCTATTAATATTAATATGGTCTCAAACCCAAATGATGATGGAACAAAAACCTATAGAGTTTATTAAAAAATTATCCATAATAGTAATTCGTTAAATATGTGTTGGGAATGTTTTGGTATTGATAATGAACCTGTTACATCATATTGTGCATTTCTTAATTATTACATCGCTGTTCATTAATGTTAGCCATTTTGTTTATAATGCACAGATCAATATACTTGTACCTTATGGAATAGTACATACAATGCAAATATTATAAAATTCTCATAATCTGAATGCTTAGGTAATTTATATTACAGTAGAAATGAAGTAAAATGTTTGACTTGCCCTTCATCTTGTACTTCTTGTACTTCTCCTATTGATTGTTAAGGTTGTTCAGCTACTTATACTTTAACTAAATTAGGTTGTGTCTGTAAAAAAAATCAATATGAGGATTTAAATTAATGTCATGATTGCCCTACTTTATGTACATAATGTTTAAATACAAATTATTGTATAGAATGCTTTCTTACTGATTTTAGAGAGCAAGTTAATGGATAATGTGTCTGTATGTAGGGATATTACCCATAAATGAGCAATTCAATATGTTTATAATGCCATATATTCTGTAAAACATGTACTGGCCCATCTTATACAGATTGTTTAATTTGTAATGACATATCTGATATCGAACATAATGGCAATACTTGCAAATGTCCAGATAAAAAATTTTATGAAGAATTTTCTAATTCTTGCATTAATTGTCATTCAACATGTTTAACTTGTTTTACAAATAATATGAATGGATGCTTAACTTGTGATGAAACTTAAAACAGAGTTCTTAAAGGATTAAAATGTGAATGTTCCCCTGGTTACTATGAGAATGCTAATTTTTGTTAGAGTATGTTACATCACTATTTATTAGGTTGTCCTGTGAGTGAAGATACCTCTTTGACATAGTGTTATGTTTCATGTGCTAGTAATCTATTGATTTGGCATTTTCCAGGATGTGCATTCTGTGATATAGGTTTTCAATTAGTTAATAGAGAATGTTAACCTATTTGTGGTGATTCATAAATATTAGGAAATGAAGAATGTGAAGATAATAACAGNTAAATTGTTTAAGAATGGATTCTGTTAAGAATACGCAAGTAATATATAATATTATTAAGTGCATTTATTCTAGAGGACTAAATTCGAGAATAATCCATAAAATGTTGAAAATCTAAAATGGTCAATTAATTACGATAAAAGCCACATTGATAATTCAATTGCTCTTGACTATTTTGCTAACATATTATGTTATGGCATTTTCAAATATAAAACTGGGATTTAAAGGTTTGTTAATGAAATCTCCCCAGATTAAGGATCTAAATTAATTGGCTTTCAAATAGTGATTTTAATATTTGGCCAATTTCCAATGTAAGGAGGTTTAAACTTCTATCTTAATAATACATATTATGGTTCCATATTTCAAATCTCCTCTGAAATATAAACGCATAATATTCAAATATTTGATGTGATTTCTTTGGGATAATAGCTTCAATATTCAAAATGTGAAAAATATGAATTGCACATGTTTGTTGATATACCTTAATATCCATTTTTATTTTCATCCTCTAGTAATTTCACGTATTTAATTTATTGTAACTTTTAGAGATGATAGTGCTGGATGGGCCTTAGTTTCCTTAACAGTCTCTTCTGGATATTGCCCATAAAATTGTAAGGAGTGTGAAGTATCATTTTAGTGTAAAACTTGCGTAGGCTCTTTATTAAAATATAGAGATGGTAGTTGCATTCACAATTGTGACAAACCATACTAAACATCAAATGTCACCCATTGTACAGATTTCGACGATGAAACCCCATGTATATTAATTTACATATATAAATAGATTCAAAATTTTTGGTCTCAGAATATATTGATTATGCAAATGATCTAACTTAAAGAAATTAGTATACTTTACTTTCAGCATCTTCATAATCTAATGTAAATTTCTTAAAGGGTGCTGACATCCTTTATTCATATTGGAAAACTTATAGAGTTTTTGGTGGTCCTTATGTTTGGGCTTAGGCTAAATTTTAGAGAGTGCACTAAATACAAGATCCTCATCATAGTATTACTATAGGGTTCGAAATCTTATTTGGTCCAAACTTTCCTTAAAGTGGATCATTTATTTACACTATCGAATCAAATCCTAGTGCTATTAATATTAATATGGTCTCAAACCCAAATGATGATGGAACAAAAACCTATAGAGTTTATTAAAAAATTATCCATAATAGTAATTCGTTAAATATGTGTTGGGAATGTTTTGGTATTGATAATGAACCTGTTACATCATATTGTGCATTTCTTAATTATTACATCGCTGTTCATTAATGTTAGCCATTTTGTTTATAATGCACAGATCAATATACTTGTACCTTATGGAATAGTACATACAATGCAAATATTATAAAATTCTCATAATCTGAATGCTTAGGTAATTTATATTACAGTAGAAATGAAGTAAAATGTTTGACTTGCCCTTCATCTTGTACTTCTTGTACTTCTCCTATTGATTGTTAAGGTTGTTCAGCTACTTATACTTTAACTAAATTAGGTTGTGTCTGTAAAAAAAATCAATATGAGGATTTAAATTAATGTCATGATTGCCCTACTTTATGTACATAATGTTTAAATACAAATTATTGTATAGAATGCTTTCTTACTGATTTTAGAGAGCAAGTTAATGGATAATGTGTCTGTATGTAGGGATATTACCCATAAATGAGCAATTCAATATGTTTATAATGCCATATATTCTGTAAAACATGTACTGGCCCATCTTATACAGATTGTTTAATTTGTAATGACATATCTGATATCGAACATAATGGCAATACTTGCAAATGTCCAGATAAAAAATTTTATGAAGAATTTTCTAATTCTTGCATTAATTGTCATTCAACATGTTTAACTTGTTTTACAAATAATATGAATGGATGCTTAACTTGTGATGAAACTTAAAACAGAGTTCTTAAAGGATTAAAATGTGAATGTTCCCCTGGTTACTATGAGAATGCTAATTTTTGTTAGAGTATGTTACATCACTATTTATTAGGTTGTCCTGTGAGTGAAGATACCTCTTTGACATAGTGTTATGTTTCATGTGCTAGTAATCTATTGATTTGGCATTTTCCAGGATGTGCATTCTGTGATATAGGTTTTCAATTAGTTAATAGAGAATGTTAACCTATTTGTGGTGATTCATAAATATTAGGAAATGAAGAATGTGAAGATAATAACAGNTTTTAGAGATGATAGTGCTGGATGGGCCTTAGTTTCCTTAACAGTCTCTTCTGGATATTGCCCATAAAATTGTAAGGAGTGTGAAGTATCATTTTAGTGTAAAACTTGCGTAGGCTCTTTATTAAAATATAGAGATGGTAGTTGCATTCACAATTGTGACAAACCATACTAAACATCAAATGTCACCCATTGTACAGATTTCGACGATGAAACCCCATGTATATTAATTTACATATATAAATAGATTCAAAATTTTTGGTCTCAGAATATATTGATTATGCAAATGATCTAACTTAAAGAAATTAGTATACTTTACTTTCAGCATCTTCATAATCTAATGTAAATTTCTTAAAGGGTGCTGACATCCTTTATTCATATTGGAAAACTTATAGAGTTTTTGGTGGTCCTTATGTTTGGGCTTAGGCTAAATTTTAGAGAGTGCACTAAATACAAGATCCTCATCATAGTATTACTATAGGGTTCGAAATCTTATTTGGTCCAAACTTTCCTTAAAGTGGATCATTTATTTACACTATCGAATCAAATCCTAGTGCTATTAATATTAATATGGTCTCAAACCCAAATGATGATGGAACAAAAACCTATAGAGTTTATTAAAAAATTATCCATAATAGTAATTCGTTAAATATGTGTTGGGAATGTTTTGGTATTGATAATGAACCTGTTACATCATATTGTGCATTTCTTAATTATTACATCGCTGTTCATTAATGTTAGCCATTTTGTTTATAATGCACAGATCAATATACTTGTACCTTATGGAATAGTACATACAATGCAAATATTATAAAATTCTCATAATCTGAATGCTTAGGTAATTTATATTACAGTAGAAATGAAGTAAAATGTTTGACTTGCCCTTCATCTTGTACTTCTTGTACTTCTCCTATTGATTGTTAAGGTTGTTCAGCTACTTATACTTTAACTAAATTAGGTTGTGTCTGTAAAAAAAATCAATATGAGGATTTAAATTAATGTCATGATTGCCCTACTTTATGTACATAATGTTTAAATACAAATTATTGTATAGAATGCTTTCTTACTGATTTTAGAGAGCAAGTTAATGGATAATGTGTCTGTATGTAGGGATATTACCCATAAATGAGCAATTCAATATGTTTATAATGCCATATATTCTGTAAAACATGTACTGGCCCATCTTATACAGATTGTTTAATTTGTAATGACATATCTGATATCGAACATAATGGCAATACTTGCAAATGTCCAGATAAAAAATTTTATGAAGAATTTTCTAATTCTTGCATTAATTGTCATTCAACATGTTTAACTTGTTTTACAAATAATATGAATGGATGCTTAACTTGTGATGAAACTTAAAACAGAGTTCTTAAAGGATTAAAATGTGAATGTTCCCCTGGTTACTATGAGAATGCTAATTTTTGTTAGAGTATGTTACATCACTATTTATTAGGTTGTCCTGTGAGTGAAGATACCTCTTTGACATAGTGTTATGTTTCATGTGCTAGTAATCTATTGATTTGGCATTTTCCAGGATGTGCATTCTGTGATATAGGTTTTCAATTAGTTAATAGAGAATGTTAACCTATTTGTGGTGATTCATAAATATTAGGAAATGAAGAATGTGAAGATAATAACAGAGCTTAAAATGATAAATGTTTCAATTGTAGATTTCAATGTCCAGCACATTGTTTAACTTGTAATATAGATACTACACTTCCTTGTTCAGATGTATGTGGAGATAGATTAGTTACTGGACAAGAAGAATGTGAAGATGGTAATGATATATAGTTCGATGGATGCTATGATTGCAAATTTTAATGCCAAGATTCTTGTACAAAATGTTTAATGGGTATTTGTTAAGAATGTGCTGGAGGGTGGTAAATAGATCCATTAACATGGAAATGTAAGGAGAAATGTGGCGATTTAATGGTAGTAGGAAAAGAATAGTGTGAAGACGCCAATTAATCAGATACTGATGGATGCAAGGAGTGTAGATATTTTTGTCGGATTGGTTGTTTATAATGCAATTATGACACAGGTATTTGTCTAGCTTGTGAATTCCCAGGATTTGTTCCAAATTAATATTTTTGTTAAAATGATTGTGGGGATGGTTTAGTAGTAGTAGATCCTTATGGATTCTCTGCAGAAGTTTGCGATGATTTAGGTTGCAATTCTGATTGTAAATCCTGTAAATAAGGATACTTACTTATTAATAGTATTTGTGAACCTATTTGTTATGATTCCTTATTGGTTGAAAAAGAAATGTGTGAAGATAGTTTTATTTTGCCATACAGAGGATGTTAGAATTGCAAAATAAAGTGTTAATTGTCTTGTTTAGTATGTGATACAACAGGAAAAGGTTGTTTGTAATGTGATATTGGTTATGAAATCTTTGATTATATTTGTTATTCTATTTGTGGAGATAAGATTATAACTATTGATGAGGAATGTGATGATGGTAATTTAATAATTGGAGATGGATGTCATTTTTGTTAATATAGTTGTTAAGATTCATGTTTAGATTGCATTAAAGGAAAATGTTTAAATTGTTTAGATAATTATGAATTAGTTTTATCTGCTTGTTAATTGAAATGTGAAAACTAAATTGAAATTCCTTAAGAATAATGTGATTACATAATATTCAGCAATGATGGATGCTATTAATGTTTTCAATGTTCAGAAAATTGTGAGATTTGTCAAAATGGAATTTGCACTTTATGTTAAACTAATTTTGAACTTGATAATATATATAATCATTGCATTCCCATCAAAAAAACTAAATTTGATTTAGAAATAAATTGTGTATAGATGAAAGATAATCAATGTCTAACTTAAAATTAAGAATTCATAAATTTTATAACAAATCCAGATTTAGAATTTGATAGATGTCCTTAAAATTGTAAAATCTGCCAATTTAATAATTGTATGGAATGCAAATAAGGTTATTATGGATAAAAGTGTATATCTAAATGTGGAGATAATATTATTACATCTCAAGAAGAATGTGATGAAGGAAAAGGTCGTCTACTTAATCAATGTTCAAATTGTAAATTAGTATGTCCTGATTTCTGTAAACTATGCGTTTTTGGTATTTGTTAAGAATGTTAATCTGGATTTTATTTAGATATAGTGAGCAATACTTGTTATTCTATTTGTGGAGATAATATTTTAGCATTCAATGAGGTTTGTGATGATGGAAATGATATAGAGTACGATGGATGCTTCTAATGCTAATATTAATGTGAAATTGAATGTGCTGATTGTTAATTTGCATAATGTGTTCAATGTTTAGAACCATTTTTCTTAGTCTAATCCAAATTAAAATGTGAATCTCAACAATCTTGTGAAGCTTAAGATGGCTTCTATTATGAGAGTTTCTCTAATAGTTGTGTTAACTTATGCGGAGATGGTATAGTAGCTGGTAATGAAGAATGTGATGACTCTAATATGATTCCATATGATGGTTGCAATGAATGTAAATTTCAATGTAGTGAACTATGTACGCTTTGTGATAAAGGAGTTTGCCTTAATGAATCATGTCCCTTAGGGACTATCTTAATTAATAATTCTTGTTGTGGTGATTCTATATTAAATGGTGATGAAGAATGCGATGATGGAAATAATATAGATTTTGATGGATGTTCAAACTGTTAATATTAATGTAATTAATTTTGTGATGTTTGTTTGAAAGGCGTATGTGTAGAATGCATTTAAGGATTTGAATTAGATAATGAGAAATGTGTTGAAGATGAAGATTATAATAAACAAACAGAAAGTCAAAAACCTAATAACTTAAATTAGAACCAAAATGAGGTTTGCCGTCATGATGAATGTGCATTTTCTCTCAGACCTAGAATGAGATTATTATTTTTAAATTAAACTTTCTCACATTAATACGTTGAGATTAACTTTGATTAGTAAGTTCAATTTACAGAATCACCTGATGAAGAATAGTCTTAGACTTTCGAAATATTAATTTAAGATTTAAAAGAATAATATTATAATATACAGCTTTATACAATCGTAGGTATCACTTTAGATTTATAAGTTGTATAATATATTATTGATATAGAAATATTTTAGGAACTTTAAGAGAAACCTAATTTATAAGTTTTTTTGATTTAGAATGTTGTTAATTCCAATAATCAAACTATTATTTAACCATAGCAATCTATACTCCTCAACTCTCCGAGAATTATGAGTGAAGAATTAAAATCGAAAGTGATTGCTATGAGTCAAACAAACAAAGCATTTATGATCTCTGCAATTTCTATTTCTGTTGTCTCATTGATTTTTGGTGAAGCATCCTTATTTATTGAAACTTTGAGCACACTTTAGTACCAGTCATATCTTAAATTCATTAATCTTGATTATCCGGAAAACTTATATATTTATTTTTAAACTTCTGAAATGTTATCATTATCAAACTATTTATAGAGTTTGTAGATAGAATATGTTTTAGGCATTATTACAAAAAAAGAAGATAATTAAATAAGTACTACTGGAAAGTTTGCATTATATGATGTAGATTGCGATCTTATTTTAAATTTAATACCATAAATGTTTTAGCTTATTATACTTTTAACTATAATATATAAAAGCAAGAAAATCTATGTCATGTACTAAAATTTTTTTTCAAAATTGTTTTCAAATTATTAATTGTAAAATCCAAAGAGTGTTAATTAGAAAATGATATAATTTATTCTAAATGTTGGATAATAAATTAAGAAAATCATAAAATATAGACATTAATTTAGTTTAAGATTAATCATGCCCATTTTTTCTTTAAATGCTTGGGATATTTTATTTAAACTATTATTGCAAATTCATTTTAATAAACGATAAAACTCAAGAGAATAATTTTAATATATTTGCAGCCTATCTATATTAACATTTTATTTAACAATTATTTTGTAATCATATAGCAAAAGTATCATAAAGAATTAATTTACTGATAAAAATTCCCTTTAAATTAGATACGCAACATTAGATATTTTTAGAACATTTTTATTTCATATTGTGCTAGTTTTCTTTTAAAGTCAATCAATAATTTAGTCATTATTAATAGCAATAAATAGCATTCTTCATTGCTTTTTTATCTAAAAATATTAACAAATTAATAAATTAGATAAATTTGTTAACATATTTACAGAAGCTACTGTAGCACTTTTTAGTTTAACTACATATGTTTATTATAAAGAGAATTTATTTACCTATCAAACTATTTTAAAAGTTGGATTTTTTCATATGGGCATATTAATGTTAAGTTTAGCTTTAGTCTTTTGTAANTATCACTTTAGATTTATAAGTTGTATAATATATTATTGATATAGAAATATTTTAGGAACTTTAAGAGAAACCTAATTTATAAGTTTTTTTGATTTAGAATGTTGTTAATTCCAATAATCAAACTATTATTTAACCATAGCAATCTATACTCCTCAACTCTCCGAGAATTATGAGTGAAGAATTAAAATCGAAAGTGATTGCTATGAGTCAAACAAACAAAGCATTTATGATCTCTGCAATTTCTATTTCTGTTGTCTCATTGATTTTTGGTGAAGCATCCTTATTTATTGAAACTTTGAGCACACTTTAGTACCAGTCATATCTTAAATTCATTAATCTTGATTATCCGGAAAACTTATATATTTATTTTTAAACTTCTGAAATGTTATCATTATCAAACTATTTATAGAGTTTGTAGATAGAATATGTTTTAGGCATTATTACAAAAAAAGAAGATAATTAAATAAGTACTACTGGAAAGTTTGCATTATATGATGTAGATTGCGATCTTATTTTAAATTTAATACCATAAATGTTTTAGCTTATTATACTTTTAACTATAATATATAAAAGCAAGAAAATCTATGTCATGTACTAAAATTTTTTTTCAAAATTGTTTTCAAATTATTAATTGTAAAATCCAAAGAGTGTTAATTAGAAAATGATATAATTTATTCTAAATGTTGGATAATAAATTAAGAAAATCATAAAATATAGACATTAATTTAGTTTAAGATTAATCATGCCCATTTTTTCTTTAAATGCTTGGGATATTTTATTTAAACTATTATTGCAAATTCATTTTAATAAACGATAAAACTCAAGAGAATAATTTTAATATATTTGCAGCCTATCTATATTAACATTTTATTTAACAATTATTTTGTAATCATATAGCAAAAGTATCATAAAGAATTAATTTACTGATAAAAATTCCCTTTAAATTAGATACGCAACATTAGATATTTTTAGAACATTTTTATTTCATATTGTGCTAGTTTTCTTTTAAAGTCAATCAATAATTTAGTCATTATTAATAGCAATAAATAGCATTCTTCATTGCTTTTTTATCTAAAAATATTAACAAATTAATAAATTAGATAAATTTGTTAACATATTTACAGAAGCTACTGTAGCACTTTTTAGTTTAACTACATATGTTTATTATAAAGAGAATTTATTTACCTATCAAACTATTTTAAAAGTTGGATTTTTTCATATGGGCATATTAATGTTAAGTTTAGCTTTAGTCTTTTGTAAGCAAATTTTCAAAAAAATCTAAATGATTTTATCCAAAATTAGCGAATATCAAAAAGATAAAAATATAAATAGACATGAAATATTTTGTTGATTATTGAAATTTTATTTCTTTAGTTTTTTTAATATAAATTGTCTTTTGATCTATTGTTTAATAATTTTTGGAATCATCAAAAAAGTTTCTTTTTCAACATATTTTTAATATCGTTTAACAATTTTTAAATAAAAAAGACATTATAGAATAAAGTATAACTTATATTAAATATTTTCTGTTTTTCTAGATTAGTCAAATCGATACTTATTTAATTGAAAACAAATTTAAAATAAAAATCCATCATTCTAATTATATAGTTATAAATTCATTCTTACTAAATATTTTTATCATTAAAATTACTTTTTCATTTTGATTCATTATGATATTCTGTTTATTTAAATATCTTGTCTATATCTGAGTATGGATTTATTTAAAACTTCATCTTCAATTAAAAATGATATATTATTATTTTATTATTAAAATATATATTATACTTGTAGATTTTTCAAAAAAAGAGTCAATTTTATTATAATAAAATTAAAAATATTATTATATAATCTTATACAACTGTGCTAATTATAAGTTCAATATCTGTCTATAGATTTGATTAAATGATTTAATATTAATTTCTATCTCTTAAAAAGCAAATTCACTTAATTACTAATAACAAAATTATAGTTGAATCTAATTAATAATGAAGTCATTTTATTATTAAGATGAAGTCATCATATACTATAAAAATAATTAAAATGACAAAATTATAAAAATATATTGAATGCATTAAAAATTATTATTCGTGCTATTCACAACGATATTTTGTTTTACTTATATTCCTGAACTGGAAATAGACTTAAGTGCTCCACCAAAATAAAGGTGGAAGGAGGCTGTTCAAACAGTTCTTGATTTATATGGATATGATAATTCTTTTGGTCCAGTATTTGCTTTTCATAATAAATATTCTTTTGATGTCTTAAATTAAGATGACTATACTACAATAGCATAAGCTTTAAGAAAGAATTTCCCAGAACATTCATTGGAATTGGAAGGGATAATTGAAGTATTAAATAGACCAGAGATTACCTTTGAATACATGGCTGGTTGGGCATATTTTCATGAGATAGCACATATTACAAATTATTTTTATGAGTGCACAGGAGTTTTATTATCAGTAGGTGATTAGGTAATTCATGGAAGAAACATGGATTAAGCACCAGGATAAGGAAGAAATTTAGTTTTGCATTTATTTATTAAAAAGGATGGAAAATATCTTGGAGAAGTAGTTGATTGGTATTGGTTCAAAGGTGGATTTATTACAGCATTGAAATATAATGTTGTTACTCTTGAAGAAAATTGGAGATATGACAAATAATTAACTAAGGAATCAGTTTTGACATATATTTAAAAAGGATTACCATCATTAACTTAAGTCTTTAGAGAAATTTTAATAAATGAAACACTTAATACATTTGAAAAAGTAGTTTAGTATCTTGAGAATTATGAAGTAGGATGTGCATTATATAATATTGTTGCTGGTATTGGTAAAGATCAAGGTGTTGTTATTTCAAGAGGACCATAGGAAACTTTACAAACTTTGAGATTAAATAGCACAATTGGAATTAAGTATTTAGTTTAAACAAATTATGATCATTGGTTACCAGATCCAGAAGATGATCCAAGAAGAACAGCTGCAGAGAATTTACTGTAAAAAATAAAAAATAATTTAATGAATGAGTTTGGTGTTTATGCTATTATGAATACATATCCAGTTCATAATGAAGGGACTTTTTTAACTGTTATAATGAATGCCAAATATAATAGATTTATAACATTAGGATAAGAAGCTATTACATTCTTTGATGATGAATGAAAAAATTTAATATTTATAATTTATAATTAAAATAATTATATTATTAAATAATCTTTTTAAATCAAAATAGAAAAAATATTTTATAATTATATTTAAACAAGTTTTAAGAATATAAAATAAAAAAGTAAACTTTAATATCTCAAATTCATTAATATTCTAATTCATATATCTAATATATATCATGTTGAACCATATCATATGGTTCATTTTAATGTTTACCTATCCAAGTGACCAAATATTATCCATTATTAGATATAGTGGCAAATAATAAACTATATTTGTATGTTAAAAAATGTATTTTTACAAATTTTCCATCAATTAGTTTTAAAAAGTGTATTGATTTATTATGTTTAACAATTAACAATTTTTTATCTGAGTTATACCAAATAGGAGAATAAGAATAGTCTTAATTTATTGAGTTTAAATTAAGTCTTTATATTTCAGTAAATTTTTGCCATTCAATTTTATAATATATTAACAAACCATCTTTCTGAACCAACACAAAAGATGTATTGTTAATAAATTTGATCCTCATTCCTATTTCTGTACAAAGTAACTTTAATTGAATTTCTATATTCTGATCAAATGAAATCAATCTTAAAATCTTATCTTATCCACATTATACTAAATATTTTTATTCATCATTAAGACTAAGTCCAAATATAGGTTTTTAATTTTGATCAATTTGATATTCTTTAATTAATTCTAGGGTTAACATGTGGAAATTGACTTTAAATCTTAATATTTAGCCTTTCTATGTACCGACAATTAATTCATCTCCCTTCTTATTTAATAGCATGACTTTTATGCCTCCTATATTTTGATAACTTTTTGAAAGTTTCCATTCATCTATATATGTTTTCTCCCACAGATTTATTTAACGATCTTAATCTCCTCCTGCAGAAATAAGAGCATCTGAATCCTTATTAAAAAGTAGACAACTTATTTCATCATAATGTCCATTTAATTCCTTTTCCCAAATCATTTTTCCTCCTTAGAAACTCCAAATTATTATGACATTTTTTTTTGCTGTTGCTATCAATTTATCATCTTTATTAAAGCATAAAGCTTAACATTTTTCAGATTATTCTTATTAACCTAACTTAGTGTATATAAGTTATTGATCATTAATATATGATTATTTAATCCCAGAATCAATAATTTATATTTTTCCTTGACTTAAACTATTAAGCAAATAATTCAATTAATTTTATACAATAATAAATTCTTATTATAAGTTTTTTTCTAATTTTGTCATAAATTATCCTGAATAATTAATAAAATTAGTTTAAGTCTATACAAAATCTATTGAAATGTCAGATAATAATTTTAAATCTATATTTTAAGATTTCAAAATTTCATCAATGATATCAATTCTTTTTTAAAATAATTTGTCTTTATCAATATATAAATTTTCAATATTTTTTTAAAAACGAATTTATTAAAAAAGAGATTCTATCTACTTTTTAATATCAATTCTCTTTTAGTCTGATTATATTTTAAAATTAAAAAATTACATTAAATATTATTCCAATAAATCTGTTAATCTAACTTTTATTTTATCACAATTAATACATACCCTTCTATCTATAATATTTTTATCATTTGATAGATCAATAAATTCAGCTTTTTAATTATGTTCAGAACAAATCATATGATTAGATTCTGAGTAATTCTTTATAAATAAAGATAATTTTTTATGAAGATCATCTATTTTTGCTCTTTCAATTTCAGAATTTTAATTTATGAAATTACTAATCAATATTGATGATCCTAATTTGCTTCTTTGAATCAGACTTTCGTTTAAATGAATCTAAAATTTTTCTTTTTCTAATGGTATCAAATATAATATTTATTCAGAAAACTCAAGAGCACATTTCAAATTCTATAATTTAGAGATATAATCGCTGATGATCCCTGTTGTACCCTCTAATTATTGAAATTTAATAGATATTTACCCTCATCACCATATAGTGAGTAGTTTGTTTCTTGATCAGAATTTTTTTGTTAATTTTCTAAAAAAGAGGTAAGTTAATTAACAAGTGTTTGAAATTTGTTAAAAAGGTCTTTTCTTTATTCGAAATTAGACATTAATATTAATATTAATGAAAAAGTTGTTTATTAATTCTTAAATTTTAATTATTTCTATTAGAGATTAGGAATGTCTATATTTTTTATATAATAATTAAAGGTAATAGATATAATAGAATTAGATTTATTTGAATTTTCTTATATACATGTAAAAATAATCATTCATTTATTAAATTATAACACAATTTCTATTTTTTTAAAGTTTATTTTCAATCATCTTAGTCTATTATTTTATATCTTAATTTGATAATATTATATGAATTAAATTAATTATTATTATGAATATTCAATATCTCTATTGAATAAATAAGTTTTTACAATCTATATATATATTTAAAAAGAGTGATTCAAGAACTTTAATTAATAAATACAAAAAGAAAGCTAACATTTTCATGAATAGTTTATAATATGATAATAATATTTATTAATCTTATAAAGCATGATTAATTATTTGTATAAATTAAGATGATAATCATAAAAAGAATAAATGAAATATATAAAATGGATATTCAATATTACTACTTATTCTATATTATCATGTAAGATAAATGCATCAATAAACAATAAAATAATCTTTAATATTATTATTATGGAATATATATTTATTTAAATATTATTGAATTGATAAAAACAAATATATATATTATTATTTATGTAAGTAAATTACGAAGCAATCATTGATGGTATTTCATATATTTTGATTGAATAGAGGCCAAAAACAAAATGATGAAATGGCAAGAAATAAATGAATAAAATATGTGGGAATTATTTTAAAATAAAGAAGGATATATAGTATATACAAAGAGGAATCCAGAAAATGGTATTAATATGAATAGATCTCAAACTGAAATTGCTAGAACACCTGAATAGATTTTAGATTTAGTTGCTGATGTCAATAAAAGACCATTATATGATGAAAAAGTGGAAACTGTATATTTTCCACATAATATTAATAGGCTCATGTAATTGAATAAATAGATGCCAATACAAGAATTATTTATGTACGAATTAAACCACCTATCCCATTTATGAGTAGCAGAGATTTAGTTATGGTTCAAAAGGTTTATGAATAGAATGATGGAATTTATATTGTCTGCTGTATTAAATATTTTAATATTTAGCTAAATCAATTATTCATTAAAAAACACCTCCTATTAATAAAATAGAAAGAGCAGAAATGCATCTAAGTGGTTGGATTATTATGCCATAACCAAATCAAATGACTAAGATAGTAACTATCTAATGTTTTGATCCAAAAGGAGATATACCAACTTCAATCACTAATCAGTATGCCAAACTCTAAACTGATATGATGAAGGCTGCAATAAAATACATTGCACTTAATTATAAATGATTAATAATATTAATATAATCAATTATAACATTTATTGTATAAAATTAGACTGAAAAAAGATTATTTAGACTAAAAACATTACAATATATACACTTTAAAATCAAATTATATAAATATACAATCTTATTTTAATGATATAAGAAAATCAGATAACAATAACCTAAAGAATTCCATCTCCTCTTTTGAAAATAAATAAGGATTATAAATCATAATAATTCTCTTCCCTTAATACAAGTCATTAATCTACTGATTAAGAATAATAATATCCTGAAGAAGGTAAATTATTAAATTTTATCATGGAACTTGAAGAACTCTAATAAAAGTCTATTTTTAATTTAAAATTGAATTCTATATCTTTAGAAGATATTCAATAGAAATGTATTCACTATTTTTTTATTATTTTAGTACCTATTAAAGATGATCCTAATAATTCTTAATTAAGAAGATAATTATAATATAATAAACATTATTATCAAGAATTTTAATACTCACTTAAATATGAGAATGTCTATCTCGGAAATAGTCTATAGAATCAAAAGATTTCATAATAATTAAGAAGTAGAATGATTGATTGGATAATAGAAGTATTAGGAAATTATACTGAAACTACTACTAATGTAACATTTTTTAGATCTGTTTCTATTATGGATTATTTCTTATCTAAATCTAATACTTAATATTCTGATTAACATTTACATCTAATTGGAATATGTAGTATGTTTATAGCCACTAAATTAGAAGATATATATCATATACCTTTGGAAGATTTTGTATAAAGAGTTGGTCATAATAAATATTCTACGTAATTAAAAATAAATCATAATTAGAAATAAAGTAAAAGGTATGGAGTAAATCATATTGAAAACATTGAATTATGAAATTACTTTTCCGACTATTCTTGATAGACTTTATAATCTTTATTATTAATGTTTCAGTATAAATAAGGAGTAATAATAATAAATCTATTTATTTTTAGTACAAATTTGTAGAACATATTAGATGCAAGTATTTATATTTTAAAAATGTGTGTTCATGATTATTAAATGAATACATTTAATGCCAATACTTTAGTTGCTACATCATTCTTTTATTCTATAAGGGATTTTGTTATTTCAAAAGATTATCAATATTAAGATTAAATATTAGATTAATTTGTATTTATTATCATCATTATTATTATAGATTAATAGAATAATATAAATATCATAGATAAATTAATTCGAATTTAATTAATGTCAAGGGAAATTATCAGAACTAATAAATTCATTTAAAAAAAAATATCCAGATTTATAGAATTTGGATAAGTTTCCTTGATTTTTTTAATTTTTATTCATTTCAAGTAATTTATACGTTATCTAAATTATTTTTAATAATCTATTTTAATGTTAAAATTAAAACATTTATAAAAAGATAGATTTTAAATATAAACTCAATATTCTGTAATCTTAACAGTTTATCATCAGTTGTAATTAAATTATTATTATTTATGTAAATTTTGATTATTTTGATTATTATTTTTTTTTTTAATAATATAAAATAATGAGATATTGATAACTCTCAATAAATATACTATTAAATAAAAATACAGAATAAATAAAAAAAAAGATTGAAAATTATATATAAAATATTTTTATATATTAATTAAAATGGGAATGTGTGAATCACGAGAGGAATTGAAAGATACTTAATTTGGAAGATCAACAATATAACCAAAGATGTCAGAATATCCAAATTTAGATTTTTATAAAGGAGTCTACCCATTTTAGCTTAATAATTAGATCTAATTTCATATAAAGCATTGGAAAACCTATAATTAACCATATTAATGGATTAAATTTTATTCAGATTTAGAATCAGATAAGCAATTTATGTAATGGCTTTATCCAAATTTTTTCTAATCATTTTTGAATACAACTAGTTTTAGATTATCAATAAAGGAAAGAAATAGTTTCATAGAAGATGAATCTGTAATATTGATTATTTATAAATTAGATTATGAAATAGTATTTGGATAACATAAAAATGTTTTAGAGATTCTTAGGGATTGGAAGAGATGAAAGTTAATAATTATAAATATTAGATCAATAATAGTTTGATCAATGTATTTACTCTTACACGTAAAATTAGGTAAGGATTTAAAGATTTATTTCATCAATGAGTATATTAGGTTAAAGAGAATTGGCACTTGAATTATTATAAGTTATAAAGAATAAATTGACAAAGAAAAATAAGATATATTAATCAAAATTTTAAGGTTTTGAGTTATTAGTTGAAGAATTAGATTTATCAGCACAATCTTTATTTTCAAAGAAAGTATTTCTAATTATTTTATAATAAGAAACCTACAAAATCATTTGGAGAATATAAAACACATTATGTATAAGAGGATCTATTGAATGAACCATGGGTATAGGCTTCAATATTAACAAAAGCACCAATAATAGTCATTTAAGATAAAAGGGAATCGTTTGAGATTAAATAAGAAGTTTGATAATAATGATTACTTTTTAATGAATAATCATTTTTTAGTTGATAAATTGGTACTTATTTTAGAATTTACAGTTTTAAACTTTTCCATTTTGAAAGGTTCTTTTTTTTCAATTCCTTAGATAGCTGCTAATTTTTTTTGATTAGTATCATAATATAATTAAGATGCTTTATTACCTTTTACAATTGATGAAGATAGTTTAGAATCCTTTATTAATATAATATGTTGTTACTTATGAATTTGCTCTACATTAATATTTATCTAATATAATGGATTCAGCTTAAATTCCATAAGAATTACCCATAACTAATTTCATTGGTGTTGATGGTCTAATAATAATAAAATGAAATATACCTATTTTTACGACCATATCTGAATTCTTCTTCTGGTAATTCTATAGCTTGTATGTTGGTACCTTTTTTAATTTTTAATCTGGCATCATTGGTTTATCTAAATTTATACATATCCTAAATATATTCTAAATATTACATGTGCTTTGACAAATCCATTATGAATAGACTATTTGTTTAATTCAGTAAAATCTCGGTTAGGTACTTGATCTTGTGATACTTTATGGAATTTCCAAGTCATTGTAACTGAGTAAGGATGTTTATTTACCTTCTTTGGCTCCTTCTTTATCTTTTGTTAAAGGTTATCCATAGACAAAATCTTAATTAGGGAGATTATATGTTGAAGGTTTAGACTTACCTACATCATCTTTCATCAATAAAGGATTGGTGTAATTTTATGAGAATGGTGGTGATGTTTACATTTTAATAATAAATAATTAATTATTATAGATATTGAAAACTTATTAGTATTATTAGAATGATTTTAGTTAATGTTTAAGTTAGTTTAGTAATATATAATATTCTTGATTATATAATTTATATTATTATATATTAATATGTAAATGAATTAAGAGGGAATTTAAGATGATTAAAATGATTAATAGAAGAGAAAGAATAGAAAAAGAGTAATTTCAAATCCCAATTAATAAACAGGTCATTGGAATGAATAAGAACATTAAACTTATATTGATTTTTTGAATATGCATAGATCTGTAATGGAATCATAAGACCAAAAGAAGGCAAGTAAAATATTTAAGTTGATGAGTGAAACTATTGGTACTAGGAGTCCATCTTAATGCAGGTTCTTAATTTATTATTATTATTATTATTAGATCTCATCATTAAAAGTTTAATCCTTTTGTTCATTAAATAAAAAAGAGATAAAAAAGGAAAATAGAAAATTAAAATACAGTAAATAAGAATGATGAAAATGCATTCTTATAATCTTTATAAATTCAACATTAATTATTTTAATAATAACCATTGGTAATTCTCTAATCAATGTATAGGAATATTAAATGTTATAGATTCCTTATTTTCCTTATGTTCCTGTATTTGATAATCAATAAAAAGAGGATGATAAATTAAATGAGTAATAATAATTATATTTTCAATAATATTTGATATTGTAATAATAATTACAATAATAATTGGATGATAAGAACATTTGTAATTTTAATTTTAATTTTATGCCTCAATAGTAGTAATTTAATTTAAATTTTAATTACTTCCAATAATAATAAATGTACAACAATGATTTTTAAGTATTAAATTCATGTGATATTAATAATAAAGAAAACTAATTCGATGAACAATGATAATTAATAAATCTATATATTAATATATAATAATTATAATATATATAAATAAATGGAAGAATAAGCAACAGTTGAGAATGTAATAATTGAAGAAAAGATCTCAAAATCTAATGGAGATGTGATAATTAAAAGATATTAAAGAGGGAAGACTTTAGGTAAAGGTGGATTTGCTAGATGTTATGAGATTACTGAAATAGATACAAAAAAAATATTGGCTGCCAAGATTATTTAAAAGAATACTTTGACAAGGAACAGAGCAAGATAAAAAGTAAATTAATGATATATAGATTATAGTTGATATCAGAAATCAAAATACATAAATCATTACATTAAACTAACATAGTTTAATTTATTCATGTATTTGAAGATCATGATAATGTTTATATCATATTAGAATTGTGTACAAATTAAGTATATATATATGATGATATCTTTTAAGACACTCAATGAATTAATTAAGAGAAGAAGAAGAATAACTTAATTAGAAGTGTAATGTTATATATTACAATTGGTCAATGCACTTAAATATCTTCATTAAAATAAAATCATACATAGAGATTTGAAATTGGGTAATCTATTTTTGAATGATAAAATGGAATTAAAATTAGGTGATTTTGGATTGGCAACTAAACTAGATTTTGATGGAGAAAAAAAGAAAACAATATGTGGTACACCAAATTATATAGCTCCAGAAATTTTAGATGGCAAAATAGGTCATTCATATGAAGTTGACATCTGGTCATTAGGTGTTATTATATACACTCTTCTTATTGGAAAACCTCCCTTTGAAACTTAAGATGTCAAAACAACATACAAAAAAATCAAAGCATGTTAATATACATTCCCTGATCATGTTGTCATTTCAGATAATGCTAAAAATTTAATAACTAAAATGTTAGTTTTAGATCCAAGTAAAAGACCTACTTTAGATTAAATCTTATAACATCCATTTATGACATCTAATCCAATTCCAAAAACTGCTCATATTTCTACTTTAGTTGGTCCACCTTCTATGTCATGGTTATCATAATATTAATCTACTTAATCATCTTCATCTCAATAAAAAAGATTAGCTGATACAGCACCTTAATAATTAATGAAAGTTATAAGTTAAGATAGAGTATCACTTTTAAATGATGCTTAAACTTAAAATAATTTTATGAAAGATTCTCGAGCATCCTCTTAAAAATTAGTTGACATGAGAGCAACTCAATAATCTGCTAAAACATTACCTACAGGAATTATTAATAATATAAATAATGTAAATATTATTAGATAATTTTATAGAAAACATTTAAAATTTAAAGAAATGAAATTTTTGTTAAGAAATGGGTTGATTATAGTAGTAAATATGGACTTGGTTATTTATTAAATAATGGAAGTAGTGGTGTATATTTTAATGATTCAAGTAAAATTATTGCAGATCCAAAATAAACATATTTTGAATATATTGAAAAATAATCAGATAATTAATAATATGAAGTTAATTCATATTCATTAAATGATTATCCAAAAGATTTATAAAAGAAAGTAACATTACTTGAACATTTCAGAGGATATCTTGATACTGATAGTACTGATAAAGAGCCTATTGATTAATCAGATGATAATAAGATTCCTATGGTTTATGTTAAGAAATGGATGAAAACTAAACATGCTGTTATGTTTAGATTATCTAATAAAGTAGTTTAAGTAGATTTCACTGATAAAACTATCATCATTCTAAATTCTGATACAAAATCTGTCACTTACATTAACAAAAAAGGAGAAAAATAGAATTTCCCTTTAAGTACTGCTTTAGAATCATAAAATCATGAAATGACAAAAAGGTAATATGTATTTACTTATTATTAGACTTAAATATACTAAAGAGATTTTGTAACATATGTTATAAGGAACATAAACTTAAGTAATCAATACATAACTTACTTTAACTAATTGGAATTAAAAATGAAATTATAACACATCATTCAATTATATTTAAACATATTCTACTTATTATATCTTTATATATATCTTTAATCATTTATATAGATATTTAATATAAAGTTATCTATTGATTATGAGAGAAATTAAAATACTGGAATAGATTAATATATATATATATATATTCTTAGAATGAAGATGAAGAATAATGAAAAGTGAAAGAGAGATAAAAGAATTGATTAAAAAATCTATAGATATATATTAATTAATTATAATAAAATAAGTATTTAGAATTTTTAGAATAGTAAAGCTATTTAATACTCATATATTGTAATTCTGCATAAAGAAATGAAGTTCTTTTATGTTTGAACATTTTGCTTTTTATTTATTTCTTTTATTGATTACAACAATATTATTATTATCTATTATATTGATTGAAAAATTGAGATTATCAAATTCAACTTCATTTCTTTTATCCAATTTATTAAATCCTAAGAGTTTAATTTATTAAATAAGATCATGATCAATAGTTTATTATCTTCTATATTTTTATTAATTATTGAGATCATATTCTTTAAAGACAGGAAAAAACATTTATTCATTTTCTTTACTATAAATATCTTTAGTAACTAATTCTCTTATGATTAATTTATAATCAATATTTGAAGTTAATCTTGATACAATAGATTTCAAGGCTTCTCTTAGATCTTTCTTTTCAAAGTATTTCTAATTTAATTCAATAGAAATTCTATTATAATCTACATTTTATCTTGGATCAATTCTATCAAATAAAAATTTCTCTTTATCTAAATACATTTGATAGAAATTCTTAAAAATTTAAAAGGATATTAATATATTTTATGATTCATCTAATAAGATTAAGATTACACGTTTAAGATGATTAAATATATTTCCTTATCCATCAATTTAATCAAATAACAATTCTTATAAAATATGAAAGATATTAATTCTAGTAATTTATTCAACATGAATTCTATCTTTTTCATCCAATTTTTCAATTTTTCTTAGATAAAGATCAATTAAATATTGTTTAATTTATGTTTAATATCTTTCATCTTAACTTATAATAAATTTACTACATATCAATTTACTTAGAATCATTCTAAATTTTGTCCTATTTATAATACTAGCAACACCTCTATTCTAAATAAAAATAATTCTATTGTTTTACTCCTTGTAAGTAATATTCATATATTTATAGTAATTCATCTATATATGTTATTTCATATTATTTTGGTTCAATTAAAACATTCAACATAAATTCTAATACTTCATTCTGTTCTTATCTATCAAGTATAGGACAAATGCTAGACAATGGTTTTGAATTAAAAAAACCAAACCAAGAATCTCTTATTAATTTTCTAAATTGCTATTCATTATGTGCTAATTATCCAATCTTAGAAATCTAACTCAAAAATGAGTTTCTAAAACTTTCGCTTAATCCTAAATTATCGATCATTTATTCATAAAACCTATAATAATATATATATATACCATTTCTATACATAATCTAAATGAATTGGTAAATAATAGTCATAAGTCTTGAGATGTTCTAATACTTTTTGATTAGGTTTCATTATTAAATTTATTATTATAATAATACTTTTCAATTTGTATATATTTTTTTGAATATGAATCATTAATCTTATTCTGATAAAGCTGTTCCTTCTAATGCTTATCTTTATTATTCCTCTTTATTTTCTTACTCCATTTAATCTTCTCTCATTATATTATCCAAGTCTGTCTATAATTTAATCATAGCTGGACCTCTCTCAATTTCTTATGTCATTTGAAGATATGCAGTATTAAATTACTTAGCCAAATGATCACCAGAATCTTATTCAATGATATTACCATTTGAATCTGTCACTGTATATGAATATACACCAGCATTATTTGATAAATCAGTAACTTATCCAACAACTCCAGGAATATACTCAGCATGAGTTTCAACTAAGGATTTATGTTTTTTGGACTCATGTTTTACTTCTTCTGAAGTTATTTAAGCCCAATGTTCTATTCAATTTTACAAATTTTATACAAGCTTCTTTTGGATTCAGATGGTAATCACTATCCCCTAAATTTACAAATTCCATGAAAGCACTATTGAATGTTCTCTTTTAGTGAACTGCACCATGTGATTTTCTTACGTGTCCAGCATATGTTGTTAATAGCAATGCGCATATCAGAACTGATTTGTACATATTAAAATTATTAATAATCGTTTTTACACTTTTCAATTTTTACATTATATAAATACAATAACATATTCATCCTTTTATATATAAAAATAACTAAATAATTATTAACTCTATTTTTACTATTCTCTATTTTATTAGTAAAAATTCCTTAAATATTTTATTAGATACTATAATATTATTTATTTTTACTAATTAAAAAATAATATTATTAAATATCATAATATATTTAATATATATCTTATACTTTATTTAATTTATTTAAGATTCTATTATTATCATTAAGTTTACAAACTACTTATTGTATTTTTATTATTAATTTTTATATTAACTTATTTGATATAATAATCTTATTATATAAGTAATTATATCACATATATTATTTGATTGAATAGATAATGAGTTTTAATTTATTTATATTATAATCTTGTTAATTTAATTAGTTTATATAAGATGCTAAATAACTTGAGATAAAACAAGTAGGTTTTAGTAATTATTTAGTTACTAAAGTTAACTCGAAAATTCATTAAGCAATTAAGTTTAATAAGCATTCTAATCAACTGTTTAGTTTCGCATAATCTCTTTTCTACTTTATGTCTTAATGGTATTGATTGTGATAACTCTGCTTATTTCTATTGTTGTTGCCAATAAATATAGACAATCCTAATAATTACTTTTAGTAGGAATTTTGTTAATTCCTTTGCTAATAGTTCTTTTTGGATGTACATTGTACATCTTATTTTAATTTTCTGAAGCAAAAGAAAGATTGAATAAAATACCTTAAGAAAAGTATTTAAATAGATAGATGTACTAATCATCAATTACATTTCTGTTTTTTTATACAAACTAATCTAAATTTACTGCAATAAGATTAACATATATATATATTGTGTTTGCAATCTCTATACTAATTCACAATGTAGCATTTTTATCAAAAGATGAATATAATGAAGATGAGGATTATAAGGATCTTGATGAAACTAACAATAATAATAATAATAATAATGATGATAGAATTAATTACTAAACAAGAACATAAAATAATGGAAATTTGTTATTCCCTTTAATTATCTTATGTTCAATTTTGATTTTCATTTTCTTTATTTATGAAATCTTGAAAATTGCATTAACAATCTATTTTAAATGTAGAAATCAGTCTATTCCTCCATATTAATATAATGATACAAATTTAAGTAATTTTAATACTTAATTAATAGATATACTAAAAGTTATTAGATGGAGTAAAGCATTTTGTGGTATCTTTCTTGTGAATAATATTGGCAAAATGATGATCTTATGTACAATATTTATTACTCCCAATTCAACTTCATATGTCTTAATAGGATCTAATCTATATTATCATTTCTTTATGGCAACTTTAGTAAATGCATTATTCAATGAAATTTCTACAAGTAAATTATATATATTATATTTTATATAGTATAAAGACCTCCTTAAAATGATAGTTCTATATTTATAAATCATTAAATATTAATAGATTCAAAATTAAAAAGTATGAACACTAAAAAAGTATTTTAATTGTTATTATTAACATCATTTATTTTTACAATTATAGGAACATGTATATTTAGAATAGAAATGGATACATAAAATGGAATCATAAATTTTGATATATTCATTTTCTATGATTGTGCAATAACTTAATTAATATTATTAGGATTGGCTATTATTAAATATTTGATTATTCCATATTTTAATAAGGGACATAGCAATATTATACATTAAATATAAGTTATTGAAGATTAATAATAATAAACAATTGAGAATTAATAAATAAGATTATCAACAGAATAAGCTTAATTAGAAATGATTTTAAGATCATAAAATGATGATAATTATGATAATTCAAGAAATAGACCTCCATTTAAAAAAGTCAAAAATATTGATTTCATTATTTAAAATGAAAATGAAAAATCAGACTGTATAATTTGTTTGCAACCAATGATATTTAATTTAGATGATCCTATATTATAATTGAATTGTCATAATACTCATATCTTTCATAAGAAATGTATCACAGATTGGCTTATTTAAAATAAAAAATGTCCATTATGTAATACTCAAATTTTATGATATTATATTTTATTAATATTTATATCATATTTGAACATTAAAATCAATAAATACATATTATTATATAGAATATATGTTAAATCAAATGTGATTAAATATATATTATTATAATAATTTTAATGAATACAGAAAGTCAAGCAATTGATCTAAACCGAAGAATATTAAAATCCAGTTTAACAAGATAATTTACAAGATCTCCAACTAGATCAAGAAAAAGAATTATTTCATTACCTCCATTAGAAGCAGCATAAAATTAATATTAGAAATTGAAACAACGTAATATTACTTATCATAAAGAGAGTCCAAGAGAAGTATTTATTTTTATTATCTGTGTTGTAAGGTTTAATCTGTTTGACCATTAGAGAATTAAATGGTTTATGTTTGAACACTTGTAGATATACCAAAGCTAAAGAAGAGAAAAAATATTTTTTAAATAACAAATATTTTGATTCTTGTTTTAATGCAATGAACAAAAGGAAATTCCAATTATTTAATAAATGATTCTAGATGTATCTCATTATATATTAATTCATATTATGCTATACATAAACAATATACATTTAATCAGTTACTTTCATAAACTATCAACAGCACTACTGATTTAATCGATCTTAGATAAATCAACGTAAGAAATTCTTGAAATCTTTTAAAACTTTCTTATATATAGATTTTTTAATTGTTATCTAAAATTAAGGATAAATTAATTATTAACAAGAAATTTAGAAATAAGAGTCAAATTATAGTAACCAAAAATATTACAAAAAATAGGATCAAATCAATATTCGATTTTAATATATATATATTCATTGTCTAATTATATTAATTGTCTAAATGAAATAATACATTCAAAGTAAAAATATTTGTCATTATATAATAAAATTTTTAGGTCCAAATTTTATATATTTTTACTATTATTTCTAATATCTCTTTTATTCTTCTTTTATTGTAGCTTATTCATCTGTAATAAAAAATTCTCTTTTTTTAATTTAAACTAGTTAATTAAATTTGAATTCAATATCTTCAAGTGAAATCATTTTATCATTGTAATTAATATAATATTTATATTTTAGATTATAATTATTGCTTTAATGATACATAAGATATCTAAAAAATTTTTAATATATTTTTATACATTTCACATAATAATACTTCAATAACATTTCAATTTGTTGATTAAATAGCATTTGTGATCTACTAATCTATGAATCACATTTCTTGAAATTAAGTTTTTGATATTTTTCTATTTTATTAATTTTATAATTATGAAAAACTTCATTGTTTTTGAGAAGTTGGGGGAAGGTAATATTATATTCAATTATATTATCTAGGATCTTTTTCTACAGTATTAAAGGTTAAAAGATAATCGGATCAATAAGAATATGCCATGAAAAAAGTAAGGATGGGACAATTAAAAGAGAAAGAGAAAGAGAATTCATTAAATGAAATTCGGATATTGGCTAGCATATAACATCCTAATATAATAGCTTATAAAGAAGCATTCTATGATGAATAATCTTAATATTTATGCATTGTAATGGAATATGCAGATTAAGGGGATTTATAATAACATATCTAATAACATATTAAACATAAACAATACTTTTAGGAAATAGAAATTTGGAAAATGATTTATTAAGTCTTACTAGGTATTTATAATACCTAATTTATAGCTTTACGAACGTTACATCAGATGAAGATTTTACATCGTGATTTAAAGTCAGCCAATGTATTTCTTCATTAAAGTAACTATAAACTTGGAGACATGAATGTATCTAAAGTAGCCAAAAAAGACTTAGTATATACTTAAACAGGAACACCATATTATGCAAGTCCTGAAGTATGGAGAGATTAACCTTATGATACTAAAAGTGATATTTGGAGTTTGGGTTGTGTAGCATATGAGATGGCTACACTTAAACCTCCATTTAGAGCCTAAAATATGGAAGGATTGTATAAAAAAGTATAGAAAGGATTATTTGAACGAATTCCATCAAAATTTAGTGGAGAATTGATGACTATTATTGGATTATGTTTACAAGTTCATAGCAAATCTAGACCTTCTTGTATTCAGTTATTAAGCAATCCTATTCTATTGAGGAATGCTAGACAATTTATTATTGAAAGTAGAATTTCTTAATAAACTTAATCATCTTAGAATGTTTCAAATATACTTTTGTAGACTATTAAATTACCTAAAAATTTGAAATATCTTAAAGAGAAACTTCCTAAATCAAAATACCTTATTGAAAATGCAAATAAATCTTATGATGAATCTTTAGTAAATAGTTCTTTTCTACCTAAAATTAATAATTAAAAAGAAATAAGACTTAATGGCTCTGTTCCACCATTAAAAAGTGATAGATATCAATTGTAACAATAAATTTCATAAATCAATTCTTAACATGAGGATAGATCTAAATATACTGCTAATTCAGTCTAAATGCTTGAGATGGAAAGAATCAGACAAAAGAAATTACTAAAAAAATAATAAAATTAAAAAATAAGTATAATTCATTAGAATGCTATACCTTACATCAATAGTTCTTCTTCTTAAATTCAAAATCTATATTAAAACAAACTATCAAATAATGAATAAAATCAATAGAAGTACAATTCAGAAGCTCCTAAACCAATTAGGTGGGGATGATTCAATGTTTTTTGTTATTTATCTTAGATGAAGAAATATACTTGAAATTATTATTTAAGATTGATGATTGAATTGAGTAATTTCAATTATTTATCTGATATATTTTTAATTTTAAATATATTCTATTTTCTAGCTTCATTTATTGGTAATTAAATAAAGTATTATTTAAATATATTTTATTGATATTGTAAAATTTTAATATGAAAAAGATGTGATTAAACACCTTGTTTATTAAATATCAATAAACTTTATCAAAATTAATTCATAATTATTTAATATTACATTCTAAATGGAAATCATCTATCCTGAACCTGACTCTGACTAATCAGAATAAAATAGGTTAATTATTCTTCCTTACATAGGGAATTAAATCAAGTATAGAAACAAGGATAATGTTAAGTAAAGTTTCGACTAATTTTCTATATTTATAAACTTGTTTTGTTATATTTAGCTATGAATATCATCTTTTGCATATTTGTAGGTAACAAAAATAATGATTACAATTAAATAATATATTTTTGCATCTTAGTGATAATATTGATGGTGATTATTATAATTTGCTTATTGTACCAATATTGTTCGTTTTAAGAAGCTGAAAATAAAGTAAGATAAATTAATGAACAAACTCAAATTGAAATTGATGCTAATTCAATTCTATATTAATCAACATTAAAATTTATGATAGCATTTACAAACTAGTCTAAATATTTATGGATTAAAATCATACTTTTATATTGTTCACTTTGTATAATAATGTTTATTAGCTAAATATATCAAAGTTAAATCTCTATTTGTATGTGTTTTGATTCTATAGAGAATATTCATAAAGAATTTATCTATTCAGAATTATAGTGCATTTTAGATAAAGATTGTAAAATAAAACAAATTGAAACAATCTCATTTCCATATATAAAACAAGTAATTTATATAAATTGGCCAATTATTGCTATATTAATGGTTCTTTAAATTGCTTAAGTTTTCTTCATGGTTTTTTCATTTTTTTAAAACAACTGTTGTTGTAGTTCATTCAAAATTTAAGAATTCTAGCATGTTTATAATAATAAATGTAATTCAACATATTATTTTTATTAGAGAAATAAAAAGCTATATCTTTTGGATCATTTCTTAGTGGATCAATTATATTTTACAGTTTAGGTAAATTAATTGTTCTCAGTTTATTAATGATATTAACTTAAAATGAGACTTGTTATGTTTTAGTATCATCAAATTTATTCTATTATCTATTGATAATAATCGTATTTAATTAGATTAGGCATACAATTAATTGTGGTATATATTTTTTTAATTAATTAATATAGAATAAGCAGTTGAAGTTTTATGCTATTAAAATTCTTAAATACTTATAGATTCGATAATATTTAGAAAAAATTTTAGAAATGAATTCTTTCGAATTGGATTAATTTTATGTTTAATATTCACAACTATTGGTTAATTAATTTATAAAAAACATAAAAAGTATACAAATATAATCAATTATGATATCTTCATTGAATTTGATTGTGGTATATTTCAATTCATAATGCTCATCATTTTAATTTATAAATACATCATATATCAACATTGCAATAAATTACAATAATTAATATTCTAAAAAAATAATAATGGAAGCATTCAAGAAATTTCAACAAATTAATCTTCAATTCAAAATTAATCATAATTAATTAATAGCAGAGTACAAACTTAACCTAATAATAATGTTATTTTAATTAATTAATAAGATAATCTACTTAATTAATTAAAATTTACATCCTAAAATTAACCTACCTATATGATTGTAAAACCTTAAACAAGTTAGATGGATTGTATGATATGCTTAGACAAGTTGGAAAAAGGATCTTCAAATGTTGTTTAATTAAAATGTCATCAACTTCATATGTTTCATATCATTTGTATTAAAACATGGTTTTACCGTCACAGAAGATGTCCAACTTGTAATTAAGAATTCATAGATTGATTTATCAATATCATTTTTATAATAATTAATTTTATATTTTATATTAAGATATTTAAATAAATCATATATTATTGATGTTTCAATTTAATTATATTATAAAACTATCTTTGATTGTTCGATAATTAGATGTTATAAAAAGAGAAAATTGTTTTAAAATATGAAGTATCAATTTTTATAACTTATTTGATTAAATAATATAAATATTCTTATTTTGTAATGTATTTACAAAAATGAATAAGAATGGTTAAGAAATTGGAAATTTAAATGAATTTTAATGTGTCAATAAAAAAGTGATCAAAAATGAATGACGATAAATTTGATAATAAACAGAAGTTGAGTTTAAATGATTATTTAATGATTCAGAATATTAATAAATCTTGGAATATATATTTAATTTAAATTACAAAGTAATGCCTTAAATTGATCCAGAAGTTACTAAGTCTTAATGTGATACATCAGAAAGTTCTAAAAAGATATAAAAGAAGTGTGGACATTGGAATAATGAGGAACATGAATCATATCTTCGTTTTTTATAAGAAAATGCCAATCATAATAAGGGTCAAAGATTATTTAAAAGAATGAGTTAAATTATAGGAACAAGAACACCTAGTTAATGCAGGTAATATTAAATTTAATAAGATTAGATCTCATCATTAAAAGTTCAATCCTTCAAAACCTTGTGTTAAGTTAACTTAAATAAAAATAATGAAAACAAAATAATTGGTTCGATTATATATGAGTAAACATTAGGAAAAAGATGAAGATGAAGAGTGAATGATAGTTTTTTATGTAAATATTAAATTCAATTTTTGTGATGATGTTTAAATATATATATAACCAAGAAAATTTGTTTTTTTAAAGCTTGATTAAATTAGAAAAAGCTTAGACTTTAAATAAAATATTAGATATAAATATAAGGATACAGGGATTCTGTTAAGTTACTGTAGAAATCCAAATAAAACTGAGTAAGAATTAAGAAAAATGTTGAATTATTTATGAAGCGAGTATGATTGTTAATTAAATAAGAATAAGTGCTATAGTTGATTATTAAAGAAAGTGAGATAACTTATATTAATTTTAATTATATCTTAAAAATAACTGAATCTGTTATGATATTAAATATAATTATAATGAATTTTGAGAATATTGTGAAATTTATGGAGAAATCAGAAGCTTGTTTAAATTATGAATTAATTAATGCACCTTTTGTACCTAATACATTTTCATTGTGGAGAGATGTTGTATATGAAAATGTAGATTCTAATTAATGGTTTGAGTTTGTGAAACAGATTGACAAATAATTATTTTTAAAATATTTGGAGAAGGTTAGAGAAGCATATGCAAGAAAACTATCTTATTAAGATTTAAAGTTAAATGTTAGATATGATTTAGATGATTAAAAATTGAAGATCATATTCGAAAATAATTTAAGTAATAGAGTTTTAAAATCTTCAAATAGAAAAATAAGTTGATGCTTTAACAGTACATCTTTCGTATTATAAAGCTTAAGTTGAATATACTTATGATTTATTAAGAAGAATACATACATATAAATTTGTAGATTATAATGTAGAATAAATATAGACATAGTAAAAAGATTAAACTTTGTATTAGAAATATTTAGATAAAATTGTAATGATTATATAAATTCAATATATAGATGAGGGGATTCATATCAAATGTTTAAGATATTGCAACTGAAAAGATAAAGGAATACTGTGCAACTAGATTAATAAAGAATAATTCATTTTTGGAATCAGGGAAATCATTTTTTAAATAATTCTTATTTAATGGAGGAGTTACTGTTGCTAAATTAAGTAATATTAATTTAGGTTTATTTGTATGTAATTTAATAAATGATTTAGATTGGTGGAATAATAGCAGAATAAATTGTCAGTAAAGTAGCATCGAGTATGATGATATAGAGGGTTAGTTCAAAATTAGATTAATTGTAATTGGAACTTGATTAGATGATAAATGAATTAACATATATAAATTCAGATTTTGATCATTTAATTTATAGAGCAGCAGAAGAATTTCCTAGAAATTTTGAATAAAATAAAACATGTAATTATATATATATATAAATTAAATTAAGTTATATAAGCATTTGTATAAAAGAATTATAAAGTAAATTTAGGATCAGATATTATTTATTGTTCAGAGACAAATACAATTATATAAAAGAGAATTGAAGAAGATTGTGTAATATTGAATGAAGTTGAATACAATTTACCTCTTTAAGAAGAAAATGATGAAGATGCATGTGTCATAAAATTTTCATCATTTAATATATCAGATAATATTAATAAATAATATTTTGATTCTATATTTTGAAATTGATTATATGAAATAATTATTTACTAAATTAATTTATAATGTAAAATAATAACAGCTTTGAATATTAATCAAGTTAAGGTAAAAGAGAAATTATGCTCTAGTAAATTATATTAGAATAAAAATAGAAAATAAGAGATTTAGAATTACAAACTTAAAAATAATAAACACCTCCTATGTATAAATAATAATTATTGGAATGTACTAATTAATTAGAAGAAAGTAAAAACATAATTAAATAATTACTTTAATAAAAAGATCAATTAACATAAAAAATATAAACTATTGAATCTGAAATGGAAATATAATAAACTTAAGCTGTCTTAGAATAATAAAATCAATATAATTAAAAAATTAAATAATTATAACATGAAAATTAATTATTGTAAGAAGAATTATAACAATTCTAACCATTATCAAAAGCATTAAATAATTATACTCAAGAAGAAAAATATATTTAATAAATTAACATTCTCTATGATTTCTTAACTTAGTGGTAAAAATAGAATATGTCAGAATTAGTTTATTATAAAAGAGAATTAGAAATATAAATTAATTAAAAAGAAGTATTAAATTCAAAACATATTGAAGAAAAAAAAGAACTTACTAATTAATTGAATTAAAGAATTAAATTAGATCAATAAATTTAAAATGATGTAATATTACAATTATAAGGTACTCTTTAAGAAATTTCTAAATTCTAAACAGAAATTAAATAATTTAAACTTTTCAATGGAAATTATTAAAAAATTGAAGAATCTTTAAATTAATAAATTGAAAATCTTAAACCAATTTAAACTATTCAATAAATTTCATAGATTAAATCTAATTAATCTTAATATGCTACAAAAATTGAGAATAATTAACAAGATGATTAAATTGCTTATCTTAAAGCAGAAAATGAATAATTAAAATAAGCAACAGAAGATATTAAATAATTATCATTGTTAAGAGAAAAAACATTAAAATAAGAGATTTAAAGAAATAAAGATAAATGTGAATATCTAACATAATAAATTGAAATAAGAGAAAAACATTATATTTAAGATTTATAAAAAATTAAATAATATATTGAATAAATAGAGAAAAATTATGAATCAAGGGAAAATTTCTATAAATTTAATAGTGAAGAACTTTAATAATTACTAGATAATTTCAGAAATATTACATAATAGATCTCAAATGAATTAAGAAGTAGAAAAGGTAATGAACATATTAAGGAATGTAAGGATTTATTGACTAAATTAGTTCAAAGTAAATCAAAATAACCAAAATAAATTAAGAGTTTAGAAAAATTAGAAACTATTTGTAAAGATTTATTAAAAAATTAATAATTAATCAAATAAAATGAAGATTTAAAAGATCTTATCATAGATGTTAGTAAATAAATTCTGAATTCTTAAGAATACAAATAATAAACTATTATTTTATTTGAAGCACTTGATTAATTAGAAGGGATAATCACTAGTCCTAATAAAAGAGTTGATGATTTATTAGATTTATTTCATAAAGAATTATAATCACTAACTAAATTAAGAGAATAGACATATTAAAATAATACCATTTATACATAGATATTAGAAATAATTAAAGAAAAATAAGATACTCCAACAGTATAAATTAGTAATTAAAAAGAAGTGGAACATATTTCTTAATTGAGATAATTAGAATAAGAATAATATAAAAAAGAAATTGATATAGCTATTAATAGAAGTTAAAAATTATTAGAAGTTTAAGAAATGAAAATTAAAAATCTTGAGTATTAAATAAGAAAATAAGAATAATATATAAATTAATAATATTAATCGACATCATCTTAATAGAATGAAATGGATGTATTAATTAAATAACAAAATAAGTAAATTATTAAATTATAGAAATAATTAAATGAAGTTTAATAACAAAGAGTTTAAGATAAAAAAGATCTAATTAAACTTATATAAGATAGTGAATCTAAATAAATAGATAATTAAAATAAAATATTAAAACAAATAGATACAAAATATAATAATATTGTTGATATTGTTAATAAAAAATTAAATAAATTAATTAAACAAGATTAAGTTTAAAATAATGAGGAATAATCAAAAATAATACATTAAGATACTAATTCTCAAATTAAATAATTGATTAAAAAGGATTAAGAGAGAGATCAATAATATTAATCATAATTAGAATAATTGAGACAAGTTATTGATGAATTAAAAAATAATATCTAGAATCTTCATGCAGAAAAAGGAGAATTAATTTAATAATTGGATGAACTTAGTAAAGTTGTCCAAACTTAAAAGAAGGTTTACTATTCATTTCGTTAATAATAATAATGATTTTATGCTTATTTATTAAAATTCAATTGTTTTCATCATACATATTTATCAATTTCACAATTAAACTTAAACTTTCAAAAGTAATTAGATTATCAATATCAAACCAATTAAATTTGTATTAATTAATGATTATTTTAAGCACTCTTTCTAAACTTATTATTTCATGATCTTTAACCTTATTTGAACTTTCAATAACATTAGATAAATCTATTAAAGAAGAGAAAATCTTATTTTCTTTAATATTTATCTATTTATTTGCATGTTAATTGCACAATTGTTTTATTAACTATTTTATATATATTAGTAATTAAGGTCTAGCCATTAATCCATTTTTATATAAATCATATATACATTTAACTGTCTATTTAATTAATTCCTAATTATTTAATGAATTTTGGAATCTTTCCTCAACACACATATTCAATGTTTCTCTCATTAAGGGTTTCTTCTTATTATTTTAATAATATAGAGATTTTAATTCAGGATTAGATATCAAATTTAATAAGCATTATAAAAATTTAGAATTTTACTCTTAAATTAATTTATCTAAATATAAATCTATGATATATTTAACTAAATCTTTGTAATTCAAAATAATAGTTCCAATAAATTATTCAACTAAGATATTTTTTGGAATATATTGTAATGATAAAATGATTTCTTATCTTAAATTATCTTATATATTTATCTATTAAACATTAAAATCTTTATTGATTCTTTCTTGAAACATTAGATTAAATTATAATTTGGGTGTTAAATACACTTTTGAATAGAGTAGACTATTATTATTAAATAATATTAATACCAATTTTTGAGTTATTCTTTATCTAAATTAAATAATTCTTAAAACACTAAAGTTCTATATTCATATATAGATTCCATATATTATGACTCAACAATCTAAATTTTTGAATCAGTTAATTCATAGATTGAATTAATTGTGTTGTTATAATTTTAGAAATCATAAAGATAACAGAAACTATAATTTAAGATTAAATTTTGATAGATTGATATAAGAAATGAATCTTCCAAAATATCTGTTAAATGCTTTATAACAATGTAAACTTTGGCATGGTTAGCTTTGATATCTTTAACTATTTTTTTCTATAGTGCTTCATAAAAATCATTTTGTAAATTTGAGAGATCAAATATCACTTTAAAATATTCCTTATTATCTGTTCTATAATACCATTCAATACATTAATCAGCTGTATTTTATACTATAAATATGAAATGAAATCTTACTAACTAAATACTCATCATCAAATTATTCGAAAAGTAATTAACTAATTTTTGGATTATTAAATGCTTATAATAATCTATAAGTATTCAAAATCTTTTCTTAATATTAATGAGATTATTGATATTATTCTCTTATGATATCATCTTATAATTTATATTAAGAATTCGACTATCTAATCATTTTTCTATCTGCCAACTTCTATAGATGTTCAGTATTATGTCCTAATTCTATGTTGTCAATCAAATAACCTAGTTATTCTGCTGTGTAAAAATGCTGTTATTACATTAAAAAATATAATTTATTTTCTTTTATAAAATATTAATAATTTATACTATGGGACCAATGTGTTCAAGTTCATAAATTAAAAGAAGAGAATCAAAATAAATTTAAACTGATTAAATTGTTGAATAAATTAATAATAATAACACAAATATCTTAAATAGCATAAGCATTGTAATTGAGTTGATTTACGATATTAGTATCATTGATATGGAGATATATTAGTAAATGATCTTGATTTGTAATAAAAGCAAGATGTATATGTTGAAGAATAGATTAAGATTCAAGTGTATTAAGAAGTTGAATAGAAACTTGAGAGTTCTGTTTCTGAATAATCACATAATTCTATAATTCAATCTCAAAATCCACCTCCTTCAATAACTTTAGAAAATGAACAAGAACCTTATTCATAATTGTTATAAAGTATGATAGTGAAAAAGAAAGACAAATTATAGGTAATGTAATAAGACATCTAATTACTTGATTATTCACCAATCAAATAAGAATTCAAATCTTAAAGTTCTGAAATCATTCAATCAGTTGAACCATTTAATTTAGATCTTGAATCATCTTCATCCTCTGAATCAATTTAATGGAATCAGGAGTATACTATAGATAGCAATGGAGAAATTTTAGTAACTGGAGTTGTTAATTGACTTTTGAATATTATGAATAATATAAAACAATTAATTGAAGCTATTTAAAAAGTTGAACAAGAGTTTAATAAATTGAATATAAATCCTGAAGATAGAATACCCATCATTAGTAAAATGTTATTCAATGAACAATTATAAACTTTGGATAAACTTGATTAAGTATTAATCACATAATTTTAGTAAAGTGGTATACATTTATATAATTAAAGGTTTAAATGAACTTAATGAATATATTGATTACTTACTTTATAGATTAGATTCATAATGTGAATTTGAACTAAATTTAAATTATTAAACTAATGATAAAATATTGTAGGAATTATATTCATCTTAATAATAATTTAAGGAATAACCAACATAAGATGAAAATGATTTAAAGAGAATATAAAGACCAAGAATCTCAATATAAAAATGAATCATATGTATAAACAAATATTATTATTTTAATCTAGATATAAAATATAATTTAAATGAAAATATCACAATTCTTAAAGATTTTATAACAAAAAGTCAATGTATCTATCTCCTTTAATATTTAAAATTTCTAAATATTATTTTGTTGCTAATTAATCATTTTCATCTTTATGAATAAAGAAAAGAAGCTCTTTTATATAAATAATTCTATCAAAGTAATTTGTATCTAATTAATTTAATCTAATAAATACTTTCTTCCTCTGGAACCTTCTCAAATTCATCAAACCAAGCTGGTGTATTAACAAAATTTTCTTTATCTACTAAAAGTCCATTTAATTAAGTTTAATAGATTTGCAATTCCTCTTCCTTTGGAATTGGTGATTGCAATAAGATTAAATAAGTACATATTTATCTTACATTCACATAACTATAATTGAATAGAGAAGGTAAAATACCCATTTTGATCTAATACTTTGATAGCTCTCATCCATTATGCTGGTGTTAATTTAAGTACGTCATAGGATGATCTAGATAAGAGTAAAGCAAGTTATTTAATATCAATGAATAAATGAGTATTAGTGATTGCTCTTAAGTCTTCAATTAAATAATATAATTAAGATATAGAAAATCTTTCTTTTGACAAAGGTTCTCTAGCAGTCAAAGGAGGAGGAATAGGTGTCAAAAAATTAAGAACTTCATGACTAATTATAACATCAACAAATTATAATTATAGTTCTTTTTATATTCTTTCACCTCTTTCAATATATCCTCTAAATAGATTAGAAATGGCATCTAATGCTTTTATTTCAGTTAAATGTGTATAATGAATCCATTCATCTAATTTAGAATACAATAGATCAACTGCTTATTTATATTTTAAAATAGTTTAAGTAGCAAATCTTTTGATTACATCTACTCTTTCTTTAAAAATTTATTTTTCTAAATCTATAGCATTTATAGCTTCTGAATTTTATAATTCTTTCTTAATAATTTCTTCTTCTTTTCCTTTTTTACCCTTTTTCTCTTCTTTCTTTGCAGGTTATTTAGCTCCTTTCTTATTTTTATCTTCTATTATTTCCTCTTCTCCTGCAAATATTCTCAAAGTATCAGCTATTAATTTATCTAATCTAATTTATGGATCATCTCCATCTATCAATTATAATTCTCCAACAGCTGGTTAGATTTCTGATAATTCTATACCTTCTAATGTACTATAATAATCATTTAATAATTAAATTGAATTAGTTGTTCTATCTAATTCAATTACAAGCATTGTTTTCAATTATAATAAATAAAGTTCAATTTCATTTTCTATAAATTATGATGTTTATATTTATGATTTTTCTACTATTAAATCATCTCTCTTTTAATCTATTATATCTATTAATTAATCATATACATCATCAACTCTCTAATGTAATTCTTCTTTACAAATATCTTCTTCACATAAATCAGGATTCTCAAAAATGAATTCATTGTATTATTCTTAGTAATTTCTAATAAAATAGAACTTTTCATCTGGTGTATTAATTAAATCTATAAATTTTCGTTGAATATCCATTTAATAATTAGTAATGAATTCTCGTTATTCTCTAAATCCCTTGAAAATATTTTAAAGTGAAATATACTTATTTTCAATCAAATTCCAATAACCATTTAAATATTTAAGAAAAGCCTAACTTGGCTATTTCAAAGGTAATTTGTCTAATTAAACTTATTTAATCTAACATTTTTAATCTAATTCTTCTTATTCCTATTATTATTTAATTAATTCTTTTTCTTCTAATATTTTATTCAATTAGGATTCTTGTTTTTATTAAATTTAATTAATCTGAATTTAAAGAAAATTTTAGAATACTTAGTCTACATCATAAAATACCTTTTCATAATTATTAGATGCATCTACAGTTATGAAAGCCTTTTATATATTGGACCCACATCTGGATTCAAAATTATCATACCAATTTTTGAGTCCCTCTATCTAAGTCATAAAATATGAATTTTTATCTGAGATCTACTATTAGAGATTATCAACTTCATATAAAGGTTTGATTCTTTCAATTAAAGGGGCATTATCTACTGGAGGAGGATTTGAATCTAGATGATATAAGGAATTGTTATGATTATCAAATCTTCTTCCAATAGCTCTTCTTAAACACATTTCATTAGAAGGTATTTCCAAATACATACAAATTCCAACTCCACTCTCCTGTTTAGTTCTTGGAACTTTATGATATTCATTTGGTTTAACAATCCTAGCAGCTTTTTCAAGTCTAGTTTATAATGCAGTAGGTTCATCTTATGGTTATATATTGGTAAGATATTTTTCCAATAGTTTTGCTTAATCATAAGTATGAGGAAATCCAACCAATAACCAACCTTTACAATAGGGTTTATTATTTATCATATTATTTCTATGAAAATCTTCCCAATTAATACCATCATCATTAAAATCATCAATAGTTTTGATTATTCTAACATTATGATTTTAACATTTATCTTTTTATTCTTCATAAATCTATTCAAATGTTTGTTATTCAAATGTTCTTTTGATCTTCTACACAATAGCTTTAATGTATAATTCATCAGGGATATTTTCTCCTTCTAATAAATGATTAGAGATAGATTAACCCAATTCAATTTATTGTTAATCCCAAACTTATGAATGTTCTTCTCCTTATTAATATTTACTTATATATTCTAATAACTCATTTATTATGACATCAACATATAATAAAGTAATTCCATATTTCTTACTCAATAATTCACTAATAGTACTCTTGCCACTAAATGCAAATCCTATCACAGATCCTCTAAATGGAACATAGGGAATATTGAGTTCTATTTGTTCTGGATTAGTAATTTCAAATTAACTCTCAATTAAATATCTCACTAAATTTCCTAGAGTATAATTATTCTATGCTTAATAGATATTCCATGCTCCATTACCTTCTAAATAGTCTTACATCTCCATTTTAGCTAAAAACATTTTTTATTTATAATTTTAAGTTTCTTATAGCTTCATTTCTTTGATTGGATCATATGTTCTAAATCTTTTATAAGGTATTAAATCCATTCCTTATTCAAATAAATGATTATTTTCTCTTGTGAATTATTAATTTATTTAATTTGAATCATTATTTTATAGATGTTCATAAACTTATTCTTCAATTTCAAATAGAATTTCAACTAATTTTCTACATTTTTCATAATTCTATTGTCTAATCAATAATTTATATTCAACATTAATTTCTAATTATCTCTTTTATTATAATTCTATTTCTTCATTAAATTCTTGTTATAATGCTCTTAACATTTCTTCTTCCTTAAATTTTTGATTAATAACATTTAATTCCTATTTATTTTTATAATTTTCATCTCTTAATATTCTATTTTCACAAATTACTTCTTTACATTAAAATGATCTCCATATTTCATACATTATTTCTTTTTCTTATCTACTCTATTATTTAAGTTTCTCTAAAACACAATATTCTCTTCTTTATAATTCATTTGTCTACTTCTCTTAATCTACAATCATTTTTCTTCTTCTTTTATCTCTCTCTTTTCTCATAAATTCATTCATCATTTTATTTCTTAATCCTAAACTTACAGATTCATCTTTTTATCTATTCTCAAATATTTCAATCTACTATTCCATTTCACTTTTCAAAAACTATTAAGTCTAAACTAATCTATCTTCTGCTATTTTTTGCATAGTAGATTTAAATTTATCATCATTTACTTTATTTTTATATCTAATCTATTAATTTTTCTTCCAATTATCAATTCCCTTTTAATTCCAATCCTCCATAAATGCCATATTTCTTTATAATTTATTTAATTGAATCTTACGCATTTCTTCCTTTAAATTCCTCTCTTCTATTTCTTCCTTTATCTTTAATCTTCTCTCTTTCTCTGCCTATTAAATAGCAA